AAAAATAATATTCTTTCATCATCATCATCATCATGATGATGATAAAAATCAACAGTTCATATTTCTATAATCATGAAAAAAAAATAAATTATGATTTCTTTTGATCTACAGTTTAAACCATTCCTTTGATATCCAATCATGTATTAGTTAACTTTGATATTATCAATGTGCATCAATCAATTGTCGATATAATCGATATCCATATAAAATAAGGGAAAGAATTATAACGTTTTTATTATCATTCTTTTTTCTGAATGATAAAAAATGTGCCATTAGCAGGAGTGGCCATCAGTATTGCAATTGTTATTATCATTTTATGGGGGGAGTGAAGAGGGAGACAAACTGATTAAATCAATGTTATATTCGTCTACCAAATACCAAGAAAAGAAAATGATTTATCCATACACACACGCAGACAGACAGACAGACAATTTAATATGATCATCATCATGGGTGTGTGTGTGTGTGTATGCAACAGACAACAACAACAACAAAAAAAAAAAGAAAAGAAAAAGAAAAAGGAAATTGGCAAAAAAAAAAAGGAAAATATTTTTCTTTGAAAAAGTTCAGTAGACATTGAAAATTATTGCAAAAAAAAATATACATATAGAAAACAAGCAATGTGTAATTTTGAAAAGTTGCAAGTTCAAGTTTATACAATATGGAAATGATTGTTGTACAATAATTGAACAATAATTATAAAAAACGAATATAAATATATAAATCGTTGAATGAACTGAACTGAATCAAAATGAACAAAAGCACCACCACCACTATCACCGCCATCACCACCACTCACTATGGTCATATTGACCAATATCTCGGTAGCAAAAGTCATATAGATTGATCCAAATCTATCAACAACAACAATAACTATTAAATAACTACTATTCAATGGGCCAATGGCCATTTAAATATGATAATGATCAATGTCCATGATCATGATTTTGGACATTTGAATTTGAATCAAAAAGGAAAAAAAAATCTTAATCACAAATGAAAACGAATCATTGAAATGGCAATGGTAAATTTTTTTTTTTTTTTCATTCACTTTTATTTTATTGGATTATTTGAAATGAAGAAAAATCTAATGGGGAAAAAAAAAGAGAAGTTTGCTAGATAAAATGAAGTGAAAAAAAACATACATTTTCCACTGTTTGGAACCAAATGAAATTGGCCATAGGTGATGATTTTTTTTTACTTATTTGCCCACCATCACACTATCCTATCCGCTGTGTATATCGTTTGATCTATTTTACCGCTGTTATCATCATTAATATTATTATATTCGATGAGTTTTCCTTAATGATACGTAAAATTGAAAATGAAATAAAAAATCATGACAACATGTGTGTTGATTATCAGATTTTTTTCTTTCTTTCTTTTCATTCGTGAATCATATTGACAAAGTTGGATTTTCATATGCTGCTGAAATGAAAATGAAAATTCCAATGTGTTGATTTTGATTATGTATGTGATTGGATTATTTTTTTTTACAATATAATATGCTGGTGGTTATGCAATATTGATCAGTAATAAAAAAAAAAGTGAATGTAAATGGAAAAATTCCCGTTCTACTACTATACGTGTGTTTTAAGGATTAAATCTGAAAAATTTGATTTAAATTGAATTGAATTGGATCAGATTGAAAGAATGAATATATAAATTGTTCAACATAAGTAATATATGTATGTATGTTTACTACGTGTTATAACAATGTCGCACATATATCCATTCATCCATATGATAATTGTATTGACAAATTGATTTAACCTTTTTTTCTCTCATTTCACATCATTTCATTTCATTTTAGATTTTCTTACTAATACAACTCGACCATCATCATCATCATCATCATCATCATCATCATTATCAGATCATCAATTTGTCGCCCAAATAAACACAATTGTAATTGAATTTTTCATCAAACATTAGCAATGAAATGAAAAAAAAATTTTTTTGGTCATAATTAATTACTATGAACGTTTGTAGTGTGTGTGTGTGAGAGAGAGAGAGAATTTAAAAAAACGTGTTTGTTATATGTTCATTGTTATTATACGCTGTTGATAATGATAATGATGATGATGATGATGAATGTGAAATTAAAATAAACTCATCAAATTTAGCCACGTGCAAATGTAATTGTCTATATTATCATATTATGTGTGTGTGTGTGTGTGTATTTATCATCATATAAAATAATAAAATGGTAAATTGATAGTTGAGAAATAGATGAGAAATGATGATGATGATGATAATGTTTATTATTCACAAAACAACTTATTACAGCCACCGGTTGAATAAAAACTCTCTCTTTTTCTCACTCATATATATAAAGATGATGATGATGTGTGTGTGTGTGTGTGTGAAAAAATGCAGCTGAAAATTGTTGACACAATAAATATAAACCAATTGATGATGATGATGATGATGATGATGTGTATGGCCGAGGCTAAATGTCTTGAAAGTTGAATTGTCTTTTTTCTTTCATTTTTTTTCTCGTTCCAATTGCTTTCCGTTTGAAATAAAAACAAAGATGATTGTATGTTTGTTCCCGATTGTGTGAAGACAATAGTCCCATTATCGGTAATGATAATTAACATTTAAAATAATTTCATTTTCAACTAGGAGAAAAAAAACGGGACAACCGGAATATGTGTGTGTGTGTGTGTGTGTGTGTTTATCGGTAATAATATTCACTTCGTGTAACTCCATCAATGTAAAGATGAAAGATAACAATTGAACGTGTGAAAAAAAAATGAAAATTTTGAAATTTTTGAATGAATCAAATGAGTGAATATTTGTCTTTTGACTAGCTAGCAAAAAGAAAAAATTAAATTCATTTAAAGATGAAAAAAAAACAAATGATAATTTCCTCAAAAGTTTATGTTTCAATTTTCAATTTTCTTAAAAAAAAAAATTAAATCGAAATGATTCATTTAGACATATCTTAACTATTTTTTTGCAGATTTAAAATCTGACATCTAAATCATTGCCCTTTACACATAATAAGCCATTGGCCGTTTCAAATATAAATATATGTTGATTATTGACCAAATCAAAAATGGCGAAAAAAAAACATATGTAATTAGATATCTGGCTTAAACATATGTTATATTATATGATTTCATCGATAAAAATGACCATTTAATGATGATAATATTAATTATAAAAAAAAATGCCAAAGTTAAGATATTAGGCGTGTTTACCTATATAGGTATGACAGCAGGTTGTATTGAAAGTTTTTTTTCCAGGAACATGATGAACAAAAAAAAAACAAACTACTGGAATTCCCTAGAAAATAAATGTTGATAAACTATATCACTTGTTTTTTTATTTCTTGATCATAAGTGAAAAAGAGAGAGTGAGTGAGTGAGTGAGTGAGAGACGATAAAATCGATTAATCAAATTCAAATCAATTCTAGTTAAAATTCACAAGACAAGACAAGCCAAACCTAATCATTTTAAATGATGGAACGTAAAAATGAATGTGTATATGTATAACAAGAACAATCGACAGGTATATGTAGATGGACAAAGTTGGGGCGTCAACATGCTGAATGTATGTTTATTTATATGTATAACTATGGCAAATTATATGGCCGAAATGCATTTTTTTTTTTTTTTTGACAACCTATCGACAATCGATAATATTAAGCCAGTTATATAAACAACAAGATTTCAATCTTTATATCGATATATATTCATTCATTGAACAAGATGAACAATCAAGATTCCATATATAAAAATGATGATGACCGATGATCGACAGATTTTGATTTTCGTGCAAACAAACAAATAATTCATGTATTTGATGATGTTCATTGATATTATGAATCTTTTTTTGGTGGGGACAAAAAAAAAAATAAATAATCGAATGTATATCTCTTGTGTATGAAAAGATTCAAGTTATATATGAACATTTAAAACTAACAACAAGCCATGTGTAGTGGATTGTTTTTTTTTTTTTTGATTTTGGAAGCCTGAATGAAGTAAATGTTTCAGTCTCTATGTATATGTGCGGTCGTCGTAGTCATAGTCATGGTGTGTTCCAATCAATCAAAGTGGAACAAAAAAAAAATCTATAGCTCGAATTTGCTCTATAAAAAAAAATTATTCACATCATCATTATCATCATCGATTATGATAGTTATTCGACACACATATCAATATGTATCCAAAATACATGATGTAAACATCATGACGATGATGATGATCATCATCATTGATGATAATGTTGGCATTGTGTGGTATACGATGTTTTTTAACAAAAAAACAGACAATATATATTTGGAGCAAGAAATTTTTTGTTTTGTTTTGTTTGTTCTTTTTGGTCAACGATTAGAAATTGATCTTCATTGGACAACTATTACTACTAGCTATGGACTAATATGAATGGATGAATATAAAAAGATTGATTTTCATTGCCTACTCACACATCAAAATGATAAAGCGAAAAAAAAACGCCCACGAATAGATCAGATTGAAATTGAATTGAATTGGATCGATCAACGATAATAATGATGGTGGTGGTGTTGGCCATATCCTTGCATCCATAGCCTTGAAAAACATTTTTTTTCCTTCACATTGCCATAATTCAGGATTCGCCCAAATTAGAAATTGAAACAAAATAAAGATTGATTCGTTTCGTTTTTTTTTGTTAGTGATGATGAATGTATATTATCCACACACACACACACACTCACCATATTTATACCATAGAAAATAATTATAATTGACCAATAGATTCAGATTGATTGAAGTAGAATTTGTTTCGGTTTCAGGATTTCGATTACAAATTGAATCGATTTTTTCATATTACGAAATTGTAATCATCATCGTTTTTATTATTATTATAAATAATCCAAAATAACGTGAAACAATTTCTATTTTTTTTCCAATAGTATGAAATTTAATAATTTTATCTCAATGAACAACAAAAAAAATTTGAATGCCAATGAATTTGATTGTTTTTTATTCCAATCATTACTATTATTTAGAATCTTACGCCATCGGATAATATCGATACATATTTGACAAATTTTTGTGTTTGGCAACATAAAAAACGTTTACGTGAAACTGGTGGACCAACGCCCGATTGGGATCATGCATTATTGCTTTCAGGGTACGATATTTATTTTGGTTTGATCTTATTTTAATTTTTTTTCACATTTGCAACCAATTTTTCAGTATCAACATGTATGTTGTCGATGGTTATGGCCGCAGAAAACGTCATGTAGTTGGATTGGCACCAGTTTCTGGAATGTGTAATTCACTGAATTCATGTACAATTTCTGAAGGTACAAATTTTCAAACAGTTTTGGTTGCCGGTCATGAAATGGGCCATAGTTTAGGCATGGAACATGATGGTTCACAAGATGGAAATGTTTGCAATAAAGATGATTTTGTCATGTCACCAACATTAGGACCGGGAAAAACTACCTGGTCAGAATGTTCGAAAAATTATTTAGATAAATTCGTTCTTACACCACAAGCAACCTGTGTATTAGGACGTAGTTCACATGTTAATATAATTCATCAATTCATTCCACCACATCGATTACCTGGTGAAAGATTTAATGTTGATGATCAATGTAGATTTCGTTTTGGTCCAACGGCCAGACATCATTCATCGCAACCAAAATCTGAAATATGTCGTGTAATAAAATGTTATGTTAAATCACCAGTAAAAAGTAACGGATCAAATAGTCATCATGGATTTTATTCAGGTCGTGGTCTTTATGCATATCCAGTAAAATCAACATATAATACACATCCAGCATTAGAAGGTACAGAATGTGGCCATGAAAAATGGTGCCGTGAAGGTCGATGTTTAGCAAAACCAAATTTTCATGGAAATAATGAAATTTCGGATAATGATCACAACGATTCGAATGAACAACAATCCGATATTAATCGTTATGTTCAATGGGAATTGAGTAAAAAAAATGCAACGACCATAACAAAAAACAATGGTGATAAAATTAAACTGAAAACACAATCAACACGAATATCGAATAGACATAAAAAACGTCCAACATTGGGAAAAATTAATAATGATGCAATGAATACAGATGGTGCTGCAGATGGTTCACCAGCGATCAACATACAAACCAATTGGCATTATCATCTGAAAAATGATCCATATCATTATAAATTATCAAATGATCCTAAATTCATAAGTTCAACACCTAAACCTACAAGTTCATCATCAACGGCAAAACCATCAACCATATTAATCGTTGATAATGTATATAAAAGTAAATCAACAAATACAAAGAACAATACCGAAGAAACAACAACAATTGTTGATGCTGAAGCAAATTATCTATCAGATGATCAATATAATCCATATAATAAATTGACCAATAAAGATCGTTTTAATTGGTCATCGAATCGTTTGTCACAGATTCATCATCATAAACATAAATCAATTACAGTAAATGGTAATTGGTCATATTGGTCAGATTATGGTCCTTGTATTTCGGAATGTGTTGCACCCGGTAATAATAATAATAATAATAATAACAATAAAAAGGGTAGTGAAAATGGCCGATTTCAATCGTCAATAATGGTGCCATTAGGTGTACAAACATCATTACGACGTTGTAATAGTCCATCACCATTGAATGGTGGCCAACAATGTCATGGACCGGATACAAGAGTAAAATTATGTAATGCAGTAAAGGTAAGCTGAGCCGACCAAAAAAAAAAAAAAAATTCTAAATCAATAATGAAATTGTGTATTCGACTGTAGACTTGTAGTCCATATTCAGCTACATCAGCAGCTACTGGTTCTGGTGCTAAACATCGTACGAAATTAGATCCAATAACGGCAGGACATCGATATCAAATTCGTTCAGTGGATGAATACATTTCCGATACATGTTTAATGGCTGCAAAATTCAATGATAAAATCGAGAATCATGGAACACAATATCCAAGTTATGATTGTGAGTAAATATAATAAGCAAATAGAAACAGAATTTCATTCGAAAAAATTCCATTTTCCAAATAGCTGCTTCACATTCATGTTTTGTTTGGTGTTATAAACGTGGTGGTGGATTCATGACACAAGGATGGCGATTACCGGATGGTACACCATGTGGACGTAAATTGGCATTATCATCGGTTAATTCGGATGATCCGACTGCTACTAGTACTGCTTCTAAAGATATAATTGAAACTACCGGTTATTGTTACAATGGTCAATGTCGTCGTTTTAATTGTCGTGGTGAAATATTTCATCGACAATCAATCATTCCATCTACATCATCAACAAATGTCTATAATGTCTATCAAAATCATTCAACAACCTCGATTATGTTGGAACAAGAATTGGAGAATCGATTACTAAGAGATAATTGTCCATCAAATTATCGTTTAGATGATATTATCCAAGATCTTGAAGATCAAATTGATGATTGGGATCAAAATTATGATTTCACTTATCGATTGATAGAGAAAGGTTTGTCTAACATTATTATTCAATAAATTTTTGGATTAATTTTATTTTTTTAGTTAAAAATACCATACCAATATCAAAAAGTGAAAGTTCAACACAAATACCATCCGTTCATACACATACAATGTCTACAAATTCTCCAACTCAATCACCGCCATCTTCGTCTCCACTATTATTGGTCACAACTAATCCATACATGTTACCACAGAATAATTGGTCAGATTGGCATCCAGTCACCGAATGTCAATATTCAATATCATGTATCCGTAATGGTAGAGGATTCCGTTTAGTCACCAGAGAATGTCGTCGACAGTAAGTGTTGAATTTTAAATGTCATTGAAATCCAGACTAATAGAATGATTCATTCATTTAGAACCTGTCTTGGACGACGTGAAGCTCTACAGGTTTGTCCCGAAGTATTGACAGATAAATCGATACGTGATCCAAGCATGACAACAATGTATAATCTTTATGAACAATATTGCCCAATATCGATTCGACGATCGGCTAATGAATATGCACAATCAATATGTCATAAATATCAGACAAAATTTTCATCATTATTATCCGGTAATGGACGACAATTAAATCATGGTTGTATTGTTGCTTGTGAAGATCGTTTATGGCCAGATGTCCATTATCAGATGGATGCATTTACTGATGGTCGTTTCCCGTTTGGAACTGATTGTTCCACTAAGGATCGTCGTGGTTATTGTCTAAATGGTAAATGTATACATTTTGATAGTGCTGATATTTCATATGATACTGCTGGTAAGTAATCCAAAACCAAACGAAATTCATTTCTAATTTCAATTTATTAACAAAACAGAGAGCGTCCTCTATCGTCATGAAATATTGCAATTATTTGCTCCATCCACTATATTCCCGCTTGAACCATCATTGTATGGTTCCAGTCAAACATCAATGACCACAAGTACACCATCGGATTCATTATATTCGGCCATATTTAATCAGGAAATTTATAAACGAGCTTCGAAAACATTACAATTATCAACACCATCACCTTCGATTGGTTCAATCGAACTTCAACCAGCATATCAATCATTTATATCATCACATCGTCGTATAAAACGACAAATCATGGCAACTACGACAACAACAGCAGCGACAGGAATTTTTCGTAAAGCATCCGTACAAGAACAAACAGATCCGGAAGGTGATTATGTTAGTTGGACAATGTTAAAACATCATCATCATAATCGGCCACAACATTCATTCAATCCTCAACATCATCATCGACAATATCGGAGGCCAATAACACGTACAATGAAAAATGCAAGATCCATGACAATCGATTGGAGTCCATTAGTAATAAAACCATTACGGCCTATACGATTAACTTCGGTGACAAGAAAACGTAAACCACAATCATCATCATTGGATAGCCATTTTCAAACATTTACATTGGTGGCTAAACCAAGTCGAAATCGATTTCGAACTAGACCATCATTATCAACATCATTCATTCAACCAAAGATCCATTTAGTCAAGAATATTACTCGATTCTTAGATGATGATGACGATGACGAAGACGATGACCAACAAAATGATAAAAAATCAACTACAAAAATGAAAGTGTCATCCACAACAAAAACAAATCTTACGATGACTAATCATAAATCAATGAATCAAAAATCTAAAGCAAAATTTTCGATGGGACATGAATCATGGCCACCTATCATCATGACGACACGTCGTCCATTCACAACGGCAAATATGTCCACATTTTTGGATGATAATAATGGTGATGATGGTGAGGAAGATTCAACTGTATCATCAATCAATCATGATCAGGATGATGATGAAGATCAACTTCGTGTTGAACCATACATTTGGAGTGTAATATTATCCGAATGTAATCGTCCTTGTGGTGAAGGTATACGCACTGTACGAGTTGTCTGTACGGTTGGACAACGATCCGTACAGGAACAATTTTGTGATCAACAAACTAAACCAATACATAAATCAATTGAAACATGTAAAGAAAGAGATTGTATCGGAAGGTATGTGAATTTTTTTTGTCTTATTTGGGTTAAATTTTTTTTTTTAAAAATTTTGCAAAAATTTTAAATAGATGGAGAGCTGAACCATGGTCAAAATGTTTCATAACAAAACGAACATCAAAAAATCGTTGTAAACCAAAACAACAATCATTTCAAAGTCGTACGATTGCCTGTGTTGGACCAATGATGATGGGACATCATAATCCAAATCGTCCAAACGAATCAAGAATATTTTCATTGCTTAGCCATGATTATTGTGATCCATTAACAAGACCAAATCAATGGAGATCATGCGATATGATTGATATGAATATGAATGATGATTGTAATAATAACAATAATGATGATGAAGATAAGACAATCATTAATGATAATGATGATGTTGAAACAGTTTCATCTATCTGATTCAAAAAAATTTCGATAATAATAATATTATATTAAATGCTAGTCAGCAGATTAGATATTCAAATAAGACAAGTTAGGTTACTACACACCAAATACACACACACATATATATATACTATAAATGCCTTTACACATCTATTTCATTATTATATCATCATCATAATTAATTAATTAATTAACACAAAAATTGATGCACATAGAATTTTCAAAAAAAAAAAAAAAAAAATGTTAACAATTTTTTTTAGTCACAATGACTCTCAATAGATGGCGATATTATATGGATATTTGGAGCCAATCAAAAAAACGAATGAAATGAAAACAAATGTTTTCCATTCGAATTCGATTCTTTTATTATTTGTTGTATTTTTTTTCAATAATTATAATATATAAATTATTTGATTGATTGATTGTTTTTTTTCTAAAATTTCATTTATTCACATTTTCAATCGATTAATCATGCATATACAATGAAGAACAAAAAAAAAATTGAAGAGCTTGGAACAAAATATTGCTCCACAAAGCAATTCTATTGAGGAAGAATAAAAATTACAATCAAAAAAAAAAAAAAAAAAAATGACAGATGATATAAAATGATCATCATCAAAAATCAAGAATGGAAAAAAATAGATCGAATGAGTAAGTAAAAAAAAAAGAAATTCAATCAAATAGAAAAATTTCGAATGAATTGCACCGGAATTTAGAAGATATAGAAGAATTTATTATCGATGTCATCATGATCATATATGATATATTTTATTCGTTTGAATTAAAATGTCAAAAAATACAAATCACATATTAACGATGACCGATTTATCAATACTGTTTGTGCGTTCATTTATAGCTGAAATAATTTGTCCATCATTATTGTTACCATTATTAATTTGTGTTTCGATCATCAATAATGTATGTACCGGTGATTGATTCATCTTCATAATTGTTGTTGTTGTTGTTGTTGTTGTCGTCGATGATGTTGATGGTGATGGTGATGATCTTAATGGCGGCTGTTGTTGATGACTACTATTATTGATGCCATTTGAAGATGATGATGATGATGATGATGATGGTGATTGTGATGAATGATGATGAGTTTGAGCTAGACAATTTGTCATTTCTATTTTACTATCATTATCATTATTATTGGTGGTAATGTTTGTGATGGTTGTAGATGTTAAATCATTAACGGTGCCTGCTGCTGTTGATGCTGCTACTGATGTTGTTCCTATTCCATTGGAATCATCATTACTTGGATCATATTCTTCAATAATCCATTGTTGATTCCAATGTATGAAACGCATAATCATATTATATAAACTAATTTCGGATTTTATCTGTGCAAATGTGCCCAAAAAGAATGATATAAAAAATAGACAACCACTAATGACCAATATCACTTCATGTGGTTTAGTTGGATATGTTTTACGTCGACGCCATGGATCGGATGTTATATGAAATGGATTGAAACCATTCTGTTTATCAGTATTTATTACCATCGTACCGGTAACACGATTAGTTATGATGGCATGATTTTGTTTCCGATGATTTATACTACTATCATTATCATTACTATTATTAAATTGTGAATTGCTTGTATTCGATGATGATTGATGATGTTGAAAGACAGTGGACAAAAAATCTTTTTCGGTGAGTAAATGTAAACGTTTTTTGTTATTTGGATTTTTTGTATTAATTGAATTCTTCAAGGAACTAGCACCTTTATTATTATTATTAGAATTTAATTGTTGCTGTTGATGTTGATGATGTTTTCGTTGTTGTTTGTCAATGGTTTGATTATTATCGGCCATTGATGATGATGTAAATATCCAATCAGATGTTGAATTATTACGAAACAATAATTTTGTCAATAATGAAGATGTATTCAATGTAGATGATGATGATGATGGTAATAACCACATTGAATTGGATTGTGTAAATTGATCATCATGTTGTTGTTTTTTCATCATCATCATCATCATCATCATCATGATGATCATCATGTGTATCATTCGAATTCAATTGTAACATTGAATCAATCAATATTGCTGGATCTGTTAATGATGATAGCCAAGAATGATCCATATTATGAATATTATTATCAATGCCTATTTGTTCCTTTCCATAGATCGATATATTATCATTATCATTATCATTATTATGGCTTGATGAAAAAGGCAACAAAGTTGTTGCTGTAGAAAAATCATCAGCCACATTGTTATTATGATTGCCAAATAATGATGATGATTTATTAAAATGATAACGTGAACTATGATGACTATGATGATGATAATGATGATGTGTATGTTCATCATCACCAAATATAACAAGATTAATTGTTGAGATCACCATCAATATGGCGCATATCACAAATATTGTATGCCAATGACGATCATTGCCCATACATGGTGGTAATGTCCAATCAATTGGAGACTATATATATATTTATTTATATAAATAAATGAAAAAAAGCAAAGAAATTAAAAAATTTTAAAATTGAAAAAAATTATTACGAAAAATGGATAAATCCACCATCATCATCATCGTCATAAGCAGGAAAATTTTTTTTTTTAAATTTTATTTTATTACAAAATTACACGCAATTCTCATAATGATTATGAAGTTTTTTTTTCTTCTTGGCTCCATCATCATCATCATTATCATTATTATGAACGATTATCGTGTGTGTGTGTGTGTGTGTGTGTGTTGATAATGAACAAAAAACTGTCACCCATCTATAACCAATAAAAATTAATTCGTTTTTTTTCTTTTATCCATCATCATCATCATCATTATCATCATGATTCTAGCCAGTCATATTAATAATGATGATGATGATGATGGTTATTTCCAGTGCATTGACGTAGTGTGTGTATGTGTGTGTGTATGGAAGAAGAAGGTAAAAAGTGAAAAACAATTATTGGTGATTGACAAATTTTGAAAATAAAGAAAAAAAATGAAATAAACAAACAAATAAGTGGGGATGAAAAAAATCTATGAATGTAATGGAATAGAATATATATAAACTATATAAAATGGGAAAGAATCGTAATTTATTATTGCAACAGGTTTTTTTCCCTACCTATTTATGTATAACCGACCAAGGACAAATAACTTAGGCTGTCAAATTGTATCCAAACATCGATCAATCGATTGATCGATTCATTCATTCATTCATAGTTTACCAGTGAAAACAATTTCATTTGATTCTTTTGTTAATTTATTTTTCAACCAACCAATCAAACAAACAAACCACCAATTTTATATTATTATTATTATTATTTTTCATTCATTGATCCGAAAATAAGGAAGAATTTGAATGTGAAATCTTTTTTGTTTCTTTTTTTTTGTTTTATTCTTGGAAAACAACAGCTACAATAATTTGATACGCTAAATACATGTATGTTACAAACAATGGTTTGATGGATTGTTTAAAGAAAATGACGATGATGATGCTGATGATGATGTGAACGTGTGGAACAATTTATCATCATCAATTTAATGATGATGATGATGATGACGATAATAATAATGTGGTAGTTATTATTGAATGTTAGCTGCCCAGTAATAATAACAATAAACACGTAATGTATGTATGTACGCATATTGTCATTCAAGCTTGAATTTATAATACGTGATTGAAACGTTAATCAACAAAATTCGAATGATAAATCGATTGTCATCAATTTTTCATAGATCATGTTTTCCTCGTGTTTGACAATTTGTTTGTTTTTATTATCATCATCATCATCATCATCATTTTTTTCGTAAACATCAACAAATATCAAATAACCATATCATATCAGCTGGATGAAATGAATTTTTTTTCCCAATTGATTAGATATAAAAATTTCGTTATCGTTTGGTTGATGAATATGGTTTCGAAATAATTAATAATAATTAAAGGTAACACCTGATGAAATTCATCATTTGTTTGTCAAAATTTTGCCAATTTCTCAGCAACAACAACAACAACAACAAAAAAAAGTGACAACTGACAACTGATTAAACAATCAAATGATGAGATGATTATGTAATTTTCATCAAAATTTTTTCTGTTCATGAATGAACAGAAAAAAAACTAACTTGAAAACCCAAAAACGAATGAAGAAATTTTTATATTGAAAAAAAAATTCAATTATTTAATCATCATCATCACATTATTTATTTCGCATTCACATTTTTCACCAATTTGACAATTTTATTTCATTCCCATCGTCATCATCATCATCGATTGATGTGTTATTAATTACACACAGATGCAAAAAAAATTTTTTTTTTCTTCATCATATTCATCATCAAGATGACACCTTATTATGTGTATTGAATCAATCATCGAAGGATATTGTGTGCATGTTTTTTTTATATGGAAAAGAAAATCATTCATAATGGAAACAAAAATCAATAAACATGGAAAATGATATATGATGATCGAAAAAAAATTCGGCCAGTAACATTGAAAAAAAAACTGTCTGCATTTTTAATTGCATTTTTTTTGTCTTGTATCCAAAATGGAAGAGAAGAGAGAGAGAGAGGAAGAAAAGATGAAAACAAATGGCAAAGCCATTCATCACACGTTGTAATAATAATAATAATGAGATGAATGAATGGATGAAAAACATTGAATTTTGTTTGCGGATTTTGTTGAATTTTTTTTTCTAATTGATCCTTTATGAATGATGATGATGATGATTCACAATGATTTTTTATTTTTGTTTTTCATTTCATTTCATTTCATTCATTCGTTAATGACTCATAGAATGTAATGGATAGTATTCGAATCGGCTTTGTATGTAGAAAATGAATAATAAATGTTTTCAACCACATTTACACGTGATAACAATGATAATGAGAAATCGTTAATCGTTGATTTTTTTTGTGTGTGTGTATGTTCAATTTCATTTGCAAAATAGTAGCTAGGCGTATAGCAGCAATAGCCTCGAAAATTGAATTTTTTCCGTTTTTTGTTGTTGTTCTTCATTAAGAAACTAATAAGAATGATGATGATGATAATGGAAACAAAGTGAAAAAAAAGAACCAAAACAAAAAAAAAGAAGTACAATAAACAATAAAAATGAAAATGAATTGTCAATGTCAACTGGAATTTTTTTCTTTCTTTGAATTAAAAACCTTTTTCAACAAGTGAGAAAGTAGACAAAATGATAAATCCAAGGTGTTCCATTAAAAAATGAATGAATGAATGAATGAAGAAATAATAATTACACAGTATCAGTGAATTTATGTGCGAATATGAAACAGACTATACACAATTCTAAACTAAACAAAAATGAGATTCATCACGGAAATGAAATTCCTTTTCATTTGTTGTTTTTTTTTTTTTAAATTCAAAAAAAGTTTTTGTTGTTGATGACAGATTCATTGGATGTATTCTATTAATTTCAAATCTCTTTTTATTTCCTATTTGTTTTGTACACAAAAAAAAAGTTGATTCAAATCCATTTCACAACGAATTTGATAATTCAGAATTTTTATTGTATATGCAGCACTGTAACTATTATTAACGAGCTGACTGACGCAAGCGCTAAAAAAAATTGAATAAAAATTACCGTTATATTTACCGTTCAATGACCGCTAAAGAGATGAGTGAGTCACAAAAAAAATCAGAACATTTCATCTAGTACGAATAATGAAATTATATCTGAATTATTGGAACGGTCTAATATTGGGAAAAAAAACAGCAAAATAACAAAAAAAAAACAACAACAACAGATTCTATAGTATCTAATCTAAAGATAACCCGATCGAATAATGATGATGGTGATGATGATATATATCAACCACCCGCGTGTACTAAACCGAATCAAACCAAACCAAACCGAATCAGACTGGATTTTTCTTCTTTTTCTTTTTCTTCATCTCTAATGAATGGAGTGCAGAGAACCCGGAACCATACAACAATTTACATATATATATATGATGTCAGAATATATATCACTATGGTCACACAATATGCTGAATTTCGTAAAACGCATACATACCCAAACGAAGACATCTTTGTTTTTTTTTTCATTGCCTATCTATATATATCACACATACACACACACACACACACACACGCGAATAAAAAAAAATGATTTTCAATCATCTGGTCGATGCTCTCAACACATCATCATCATCGACATTTTTTGTTCATTGTATTATCATAAGATCATGATCATGATGAAAAATTATCATAGAATAAAGGTACTACTACTACTACTACTACCCACATTTGCACTTGAAAAAAAATGTGTATTCATTTTAAATGGAAAAATTTATAGCTTATACTTGATTTAAAATTGAATCGTATATACGAGAAAAGATACAAACAAAATTTTTTTTTTCAACCGGAAAAATTCAATCAATTCAAAATTCTTGATTACAATGTTAAAAGAAGAAAATAATAAAAAAAGATGCAGAAGCTTGAAAAATCTTTTGTGAAAATAATAAAATAATATATAACCAAGGTCAATGCCTTCAAAATGGCCGTGTGCACGCGCGTCTTACTTTTGTAGTCCATCATTATCATTATCATCATCATAGTTATTATATAGAAAAGATTTCGCCTCAAATACACACACACACACTCAAAAAATAAATAATGCACTCGGGTAACTAAAATGTCCAAATTTTTCATCATCTCATCAAATAAATTCGTGCAATTTGACCAAACATTGAGCCTTTTTTTTTGTTTAATTTTACATTTGATGTAAAATATTAAAAAAAAATGGAAACATTGACCCAAACACCCTAGGGTCAACGATCTGGTTTTTTTTCAAAAAAAAAAAAAAAAAAATCCAAAAGAGTCAACAAAAGAGCCCGAAAAATTCATGTTAAAGAATAAGAAAAAAAAAGAGAAAGAGAAAAAATTGATTGATCCTGAAAATCTGATTTCAAATGAATAAAAATACAAAGACATTTCTCTTATATATAAATTGTATACAAAGAGAGAGAGAGAGAGAAAAAAAATGGTGCCATTTTTATAACCCAAGAAATGTTTCATGGAAACTTTCTAGAAAAATCTCTTTGTCTTTTCTTCTCTCTTTTTTTATTTATCTTGAAAAAACCAGTTGGATGATAATAATTTCATTTTATGTCAAAAATAAATCCATCGCCATCATACATTTGACCGACTGAACTGGCTGACTATAATGTTGTTTCTCCTCTGGGCTTTACCCGGATAATCAACAAAAAAAAATGCCGAAATTGACTGAAATTGACTGAAATCTGGAAAGTAAAAAAAAACTTGTTTTTTTGCAACTATAGATGGTTGAATTTTCGGTGAACCATAATTTGTGACTCACACCAGAAAATTTTGGTAAGAAAATCATGTGATTTTCTTACCAAAATTCGATGATAAACAAAGAGATCAAAAAACGATGGGCACCACATGTATCCATTTTTTCTGCGCCTTCATCATTTTCTTCCTGAACTCTTTCAGAGCTCCATATTTAAAAAAATTGAACAGCAACAAAAAAAAGTTACTCGACTAGTTTTGTTTTGTGAAAATAAAAATCTTACACTTGGCCTAATTTTTTTTTTTTGTTAAGTCTCTAAATTCAAATGAACTCAATGAATGGTGATCAAAAAAAAAAAAAAAATCTTGTTTTCGCTTGATCATAAAAAAAGGAACAAAAATTATCCATGTTTTTCTGATCGATCATCGATCAAACGATGATGATGATGATGATGGTCAGACTGACTAAATAAAGAAAGAAAGAGAGAAAGAAGAAAAAAAAACCACTCACCTTGAATTGTTTACGCCAACGATATTCATAGTTACATATTTCGCAGCTTAACGGTTGAGATCGTGAATTACGCCGTTTTAATTTGTCAAGCCATTTCTTAATAATAATAATAAATACAAATTATAAAAAAAAAATTTTTAAAGAACCAGAATTTATTAATTAAAACTTACCATTAAACATCTTGCATGCATATAACGTATAGTACCACGACAATGACATGGTGATATTAATGGATTATTAGCTTTACCACGTTGATGACAGAATTTACAAATAGGTGTATTAGCTGGATAATCCAATAATGATGAATCATTTGATGCTTGCGATACAGCACTATGTACCGAAATACATGATGAACCTATACGTATCGATTCATGACCATTACGATAATGTCTATATGGATGTAGATATTGATAATTATGATGATTATGTGCTAATAATGGCTGTCCAGATTGACGACTATTCTGTTGTTGTTGTTGTTGTTGTTGTAGTTGTTGTCCATCCAAACTATTTGAATTTATCATCGATGATGAGGTCGATTGTGTTGTTACCAATGAAGATGATGATGATGATGATGATGAACTAGTTGTTGATATTGTATCAGCCATTATATAGACACTATTATCACCAACAACAACACTTGCTGATGATGATGATGATGATCCGGTTGTTGATGATGATGAACCGGACATTGATGATGTCCATGTTGATGTTGAACTTGATGGTGCTGATGAATCCATTTGTTCACTATCATCACTATTATTATTATTATTATGGATTGCATGTACGGTAATATCTGTGGCCATTATATTATTATTAGGATTCATCATAATTTTTGGCAATAACATTTTAGATGTAACACCATGGTCCATTGATGTAATCATCATTTTTCCTGTTGATGATGACATTTGTTGATTATTATTATTATTGGTTAAGAATCGTTGCCTTTTATTAATTGATGAACATTTCACGATACGTGCATAATTATTTGGTCTTGTTAATTGTCGTGATTCTGATATGTCATCATCATAATCGTCATCATCATCATCATCATCATCATCATCATCATCATAATCTTCACCATATGAATCACTATGTTTATAATTTTGAACATTTTTATTATTATTATTATGATGATTAATCATTGAATGTTGATCACAAATAATCGAATGAGGATGATGATGACCAGCTGATGGCGATGAAACGGATAAAATTTTCTGTAAAAGTTCATCATCATCTTCAGAGGTTGTATGAGGATGTTTAACATCAGGATTTTCATCGATATACTGGAGGTGATGACCACCATTAAAAATACTACGGTAACTATTATCAACAACAGTACTACTACTACTACCAACATCACCACCACTGTCTACTAAAACATCTTCATATGACGAAAATGTATGTATGTGGTCATCGTACGGTTTTGCTGTTGTTGTTGTTGTTGTTGTTGTCTTCTCTCAATCAAATGAACTCGTTCTTTTTCTGTATAGATGCCATTTTCTTCGTCATCGTTGTCATTATTATTGTTTGGTCGATTGTCCTGTTGTTCATGTTGGCCACAATAATCCATAGCCAAAGAAGCCATAGCTATTGCTGATGATGATGATACAATAACGGCATTTGTATTGCTGCCAACATCATCGCCACCACCACCATCATCATCATCATCATCATTGCCATTATTATTTTCCACCACCACCGCCGCCTTTTTCATCATCATCGATAATGGGAACAACATTGTCGATGTTGATTGTTGTGTTGTTGTTGTTGTTGTTGTTGAATTTCTCCACCGATTTTCCGTTATACATGAATTATTATTGTTGCTGTTGTTCATGGTGGATTCAACAACAACGATACTATTGATGGTGATGGTGGTGGTGGTGGTGGTGGTGGTGATAGTGATAATCGTGTTGTTGGTGAGAGATACTTGTTGCAGTCGTTCTCTTTTTTTTTCTTCAATTTCGACTAGATTTTGATTATGGCTACTATTTTTTATATATAGTTTATTAGATTAGTTGTTGTGGTTGGCGATGTTGATCATCATTATGGATAATTGTATCACAATTTTTGTTTTGTTTTGTTTAATTCAAAAATTCTGTCGAACTCTAATCTAAATTTAAACGAATGGATTTCATTTCCATAGCAATTCAATCTGCTATAAATGCTTTTTTTTCGGTTGACGTTTTTTGTTCTCGTAGATCGATTCTAATTTAACCAATTGTTTGACAAAACAAATGGCTCACAATAATAGATGATATTGACGATCGAATCGCATTGTAAATGCGTTTTCATTAGAAAACAAAAATTGAAAAACAAAAATGTAAACAAAACAAAATTTCAAATTTTTTTTTCCAAGAATTGTTACCACATTCATATATACCGTCAAATAATTCATGTATATAATATTGACAGAAATTTTAAAAATTATATAAAACACAAACACAAACACAAACACGTTTGAGAAAGAGTAAAATTGCAATTTTGCACTAGAAAAAAAAAAATTCACACAAACACAAAAATGAAGAATCGATTTGAATGGCTTAATAATGATGATAACAAACAAACGAAAAAGAAAAAATGGATTCAATGATGATCATCATCAAAAATCCATCATTAACATGTATATATGGAATGAGAAGAAAATAAATCAATGGCTATTATAAACGAAAAATGACATGATGGCCTCAAATGGATGATGAATGCAATCGTTGATGATGATGATGATGATGATGATGAATTCCCAAATGACCTGATGAACTTTTGAAATGGATTTTTATTTTTTATTTTTGTTGAATATTATGGGGAAAAATTCACACAAACACAAAAATGAAGAATCGATTTGAATGGTTTAATAATGATAACAAACAAACGAAAAAAAAGAAAAAAATGGATTCAATGATGATCATCAAAAAAAAATCCATCATTAACATGTATATATGGAATGAGAAGAAAATAAATCAATGGCTATTATAAACGAAAAATGACATGATGGCCTCAAATGGATGATGAAAACTGAATTCCCAAATGACCTGATGAACTTTTGAAATGGATTTTTATTTTTTATTTTTGTTGAATATTATGAGGGGAAAAAAACTAACCAATTTCATTTGTTGAAAAAAAAAATTAAAATTTAAAATTTTCATCTCTTTCATCAAATTCATACACATATGTATACTGTTGATGATTGACAAATTTGGTGATCAAATTGTAGATTTTTTTTTCAAATGAAATGAATCAAATGTCGACATTTTTTTTTTTGAATCCTACGATGATTATATGATGATTATGTCGCATGAAACATATTATGCGATTCACTCATCAAAACTAATATGTGATGTACGACTGATTTCTGGTTGTTTTTGTTGTTGTTGTTTTCTGTATATATATATATTTAATGATCAAAAACAACAGCCAAAAGCGATGTATTTTTTTTTGTTGAATAATAAGAAAATTGAAAATTAAGTAAAAAACAAAACAGTCAGAATTACATACACACATAATAGATGGTTTTGTATGAAAAAAAAATAATAATTTTTTCTCTCATATCATCATATGGCCAAAATCGATGATGATGATGACGCCAACTAACAGTCAAAAACATCACCATAAAAATGAAGAAACATATAATCGAAAATTTAAAAGACCACAATTTCAAGTTAATGATGATGTCCTTGTGGAAATTGCATGGCATCCAAATAATGGCAAGTTGACTCCCGTTATGGAGGGCCCATACAAGAATATTGAAAATCGTATCGGAATCAAATGTGGAAATAAATCGACCAAACCAACCCACAAAACGGGAAACGGAAATAATCAACGTCAACAAACTACGGTTGTATCATCACCCGGGAAAATTCAAAATAGGGGCGGGGAGATGTCACGACATTTCTGAAGGGGTCGTGAGCGAAAATAAAAAACACAACGGTTTTTTGAGTGAAGACGATTGATCAGTGTTTTTTGTGTACCAATTGTAAATTGATATAAAGAAGTGAATAAAATAAAATTATTTTTGTTTTGACATATATAATGTTGATGATTGACAAATTTGGTGATCAAATTGTAGATTTTTTTCAAATGGAAATGAATCAAATGTCGACATTGATTTTTTTTTTTTGAATCCTACGATGATTATGATGATTATGTCGCATGAAACGAATTATGCGATTCACTCATCAAAACTAATATGTGATGTACAAATGATTTCTGGTTGATGATGATGACGACGAAGATGATCGAACACATACACATACACACACAATGAGAGAGAAAGATGGAAGAGAAAATTCGTTGTCATGATTTTTTTTTTTATTTGTTTGTTTGTTTCTTTCATTTTGGATTCTCTGATCACACATTCTCAATATATCATCATCATCATCACATAATGCTGCCAGTTCAATATATATATGTGATATGTGTGTATATGTGCGTGAAAAAACATCAACACTGTATATATATTCTGTTCTGTTTTTTTTTCAAAAGAAGATATAATTCAGGGATTCGTTGTTGTTGTTGTTATTTGTTATTATTATTGTAGTTGTACTGATTGATAACCAAAAAACGAAAAAACAACTCATTTTTTTTCGCTCATGTGCAACACACGAATTTATTTTTTTTTCAATTGAAATTCGTTTTTTTTTTGCTTGCTTAGTTAGTGGTTAAATCGATTTTTGTTTCATTTTAAGCAGCTGTTTCTATGTGTGTGTGTATGAAGCCATATTACCATTTAGCAGCATCGTCGTCGTACAACACAACACGGTGAATGAATAAATATGTATATGGTGAAGGAGAGAGAGTAACCTGTCCATACCAGAACAACAAATGAAAGTATAGTATTAGTATAGTAGTTACATTACAGCTATAAATATAAAAGTAAAAAAAAATTTGAGAATGAGAATAACGACGACGTAGTTGAAATAATTTTTTTGTTTTTTTTTACAAATATAGAAAAAGGGAGGTAGAATAATAATCAAAAAAATAAGGTAGTTGAAATGATGTTTTTGTGGATTTGTTCCAACAATAACAACAACAACAACAACAACTATAACCAAACAGAAATGATAAACGAGTGGTTGGCCTTGCGTTTTGTTTTTGATTGGCATGTTTTTTATGTGTGTGAGGGTACCCCACATCTATCACTTGATGTGTTTTTTTTTTGAAATTCAATCAGCCACCACCCAATTCATTCAAACAAATTTTGGTTGTTGATTTCCCAAAAGGATTGATTATTTTTTTCCTGTTTTGTTTTGTTTTGTTGTTGTTGTTGTTGTTATTGTTATTGTAGATATATGTTTGCCAAAATCTAATCAATTCTAACGACAAACTGGTTTTGCTAAATTGGAAAAAGATTTTTTTTTTCATTTTCAAAAAATTTTAAAATTTAAATCAATGAATTGAACCAGAGCCATCCAGTGGCTAAAAATAAAATGAAAAATTCAGATATTTTCTTTCTTTCGATTTTTATTTCATATATCAAAATAAATTCTTTAAATTAGTAAAATTTCCAATACGAATCATAATTCAGAATATTACATTACAATTTATTTAATTAACCTATAATAACAAACGGATAATGGAAAAAAATAAACATTTTATCCAGTAGTTATGTCTGTCTGTATCACTGACCAAATATACACAAACCAGAATACAGAGAGAATATCAAGCAATCAAATTATAAAATATCACAGCTGAAAACACAAATATATAGTGAGAATATAAAGATGTAAGAAAACAAAACAGAACAACAACAACAACAACAAAAAAAATTATTCAACAATTCATTCGAAACTTATTCCATTCATAAATTTTAATTTGTAGCCGTGTATTTGAGATAATGTTTGTCTGTTGTTTTTTTTTTTTTGAACATGAATAAATGTAGCTGTGAATATTATGAATGACAGAATAATCGATAATCAATCGATTGTATTCAAATTAATAAATTGATTTTTTTTTGTTTGCTGACAAAAAGAGAGTTATATTTACAATAATATTCAAATGATTTGATTACACAGACAGAAACAGAAAAAAAATGTGACTAGATGATTGTTGGGTTAGAAAAATATCAAAAAAAAAAATTTTTTTTTCTTAGTGATGGAACTCATGATGGATTCTACCAAACAAGGGGTGAGAGATAAAGAGAGCCAAATTTTATCACATTGGAAACAGCCAAATTTTTAATTTAAATTTAATTTTTTTGTTTTTGAAATTTTAAAAAATAAAAAATTTCATCTGTTCATGTTGTTGTTGTTGTTGTTGTTGTTGATGATGATGACGATGATTTGGATTCAGTTGATTTGTTTTTGTATTCATTTATATAAGTTGAAAACATTCAAAGAATTTTTGTTTCGTCCACTGTGGCCAATGGATCATTATTTGGTGATAATAATGATGATGATGTTGTTGTTGTTGTTGTTGATTCTAGTGGTATTGATGATGATAGTGGTGATGATGATGGCAATGGAATAATAGTTTGATCCGTTGAATGATCAATATTTCTTCTAGTAATATATTCCATCTGTGTGCTAGCACGTGAAAATGGTGAACTAGGATAATGATAACGATGTACTTGAGATCCGGCATGTACTGTATGTGAATTAAATAATGACCAATTCGGATGTGAATCATCTGTGGTCGTTGTTGTTGTTGTTGTTGATGGTTGTTGCCAACCATTACTATATCGATGTCGACGATTTATGTTGTTTCCAACACCACCACCACCACTACTACTAATATTTTGATGACTTGAATTAATTTGACTTGCTTTAGCTAATTTCGATATCACTCTTTTAATTGTTTCCGGAACACTTGGCCGATCATATGTTTGATGATGACGATGATGTCGATGTTGTTCAATTAGAAGACTATCGCTTAGATGTTGTTCACTATTTGAACGATACATTGCACCCAATATATGTAGCCTTGAATGATGTGTATCAGAATGATGACCCAATAATTTGGTTCCATCATGACCACGTTCAAATCGCATATGTTGTAATTGGCCACTTGTAGCACAACAATTTGCACATCCAAATTGTTTACTTAAACGTGTTATAAGTCGATCTAATGGATCTAATGATCGCATCCATAGTGGCAAGAATCGCCAATTTTTTAACCATGATGGAAGCCAATGTGGAAGATGATGTTGAATTAAATTGATTGCAACGATAATCATGACCAATAATAAAAATGGTATGCCAATGATCAACATTGCGAACGAACCCAATGTCGATAATGAGAAAACAATAAGTGGAAGCATGAAGAACATCATTAATAAATAGAATATGGAGAACCATCGATATTTGGCTGTAATATGTCCTAACATTCGTGACAATGGAATCGGTATACGCATACATGGTATTGGATAGAATAATAATATTCCAGAAATATTGAAAAATAGATGACAAAGAGCAATTTGCATTGTATCATGTAAACGATTCGGATCAGCAGCTAATGCTGCCAATATACCAGTAGTTGTTGTACCAATATTTGCACCCAATGTTAATGGATAAATTTTTTCCAATGAAATGATACCAATACCGGCCAATGGTGTTAATGCCGATGTGAATATCGATGATGATTGTACCAATATGGTAAGTATACAGCCAGCTAAAATGGCTGAATAATCGGCAATCAATGAATATGGAAATGAATATGTACGATTCATGGTACGTTTAATTAATTTTGCTATTTGGCCCCTATTTGATTTTATAGAAAATTTATTATCAGTACGAATTATATTAATATAAACATTAATCAATTATATACTGACGTTAACATGGAATTAAGAACTTTAACCAATAACATTAGACAAAGGCACAGAACCAGAATGGAAATAGCAAGTAATATCAAACCGGTAGGCGTATCGGCAAAACTAAGCCAACCAAATAATGAGCCTAAACGCCGAGAAATGTTTATATATTAATTAAAATGAAATAAAATTTGTTTTTTTTAAAATTTACATTTCCGGTAACATGGAAGATTTTTCGAACTACAGCAACGAATCAATAGATGACGATTCGGATCTAATGCACTATGATTACCATATGCCATCTCTTCCAATAGATCTTTATCAATCTGGTTATTATTATTATTATTATTGATGAACAAACGATAGTCAATACGAAACAAAACCAAAAAAAAAATTATTGAAATTCTATATACTAACCTGTATAATACGACTAGTCAATGGTTTTGTTAAATGATTAAGAAATTGATGATTTGCCATTTTATCTTGTTGTAGTTCACCAGAAAATTTTTCAACCATAAACGTTGTAAGACGTTCCAAATAATGTGTAGTCATTTCAATTGGTAATAAAACCATTACAGTTAACCAATTAAACATATCATGTACGGTTGCGGCAGCAAATGCACGTCCAAATTCATCACGATCAGCCGATTGCATTAATGATACAATTGTATTCGTAACCGATGTGCCAATATTTGCACCCATCATAATTGGTATTGCTTGACGTACATGAATAACTAATATTAATTGAATATATCAGATAAAAAATAAATAAATTCAATTAGGTTAATGATGATGACATTTAATTATGAATGAATGTTTACTGTTTTTTCAAACATACTTCTTGATGCAACCATAGTAACAGCGATCGATGTTGATGTTGATGATGATTGTACTAATACGGTGACCAATACACCAATCATTAGGCCAACAATAGGATTCTGTAATAATTCATTATCTTGGAAAAAATTTCCAATCACACGTGCACCAAGTAAACGAAATGATGTACTCAATAATTCCAATGAACAAATGAATGAATACAATAATAATAGAATGGCTATCAATTTTAATACAATGATGGTGATATGAACTAATTTTCTTTTGTAATCCAATTCTATTTTTTTTTTTTTTGGGTAAATGACAAAAATAAACAACAACAACAACAGTGAATTATTAAATTATTTTATTGACATAAATTAGAAGGAAATTGAAGGATCAGCCCAGTACAGCAGTATAACCATCGTTTTCAATCACTGTTTCAGCCTCGAAGGGCTTTGGAAATTTTTTATTATATTCGCCGTCTTCTTCGAGACAACGATTAGGCATACATGTGTGTATCATATGCTTCAGAACAATTTCTCTGACAAACTCATAATCTGGATTGTTAGGTGGGATTTGAGCCGAAATGTATCGGTCAATATTTTCCGCTATGTCAAGTTTATCCGCATCTATTAACCAACAATACAATCCACGTTTTTGGTATTCAATGGTATAGACATAGGCTTGACATCTACCGAAATATGCCTTTTTGTATATGATTTCCATCAGATGATTAAGTTTTTTTTTTAAAAACTCTATCAATCAAATCTGGTCGTTCAAAAGCAGTTTGATTTGGATGCAAATTTTCGATAATTTCACGCCATTCCGTGTTTGCAGTCATGGTTATGAATAATTCTGAGAAACCATACTTTGCAACAATAGCCATAGCGTCATGATAATGTTCGTTTATATTTCGAGCACTACCTTCAAAGGAGGAAGCGAGAATAACAACTCTTCCAAATCGACTTTCTACTTCATTCTTGTAACAGGAATCTTTTTGGTTGGCGCGATAAGCACGCATATATTCATGCCTACGTGCTCTTTCTTGTTCGTTTGGCATTTTTTTCTTTGTTTATTTTTGTCAAACAAAATCACCAATGAAATGATGATGATGAATTTGAACAAACAATGAAATGAAGATGAATTTGAACAAACAATGAAATGAAAATGATTCGAATTCAAATTCGAATTCAGAATCAAATCAAAAATGATGATGATGATTAGATTAGAATTGATAAAAATAATACTCATAATAATCATACTCATCAAATACTCATCATCATACTCATACTAATACATGTACACAAAATGAAAATCACGTGTGTCACTATCAAAATTCGAAAAAAAATTCGAATTTAAACCCTTTCTATGTTCTATTGAATGACTGCACCATCTATTGGATGCAAAAGCTGCAACAACGTATGCTGAGCTAGATCTAGCAATGAAAAAAAAGTGTGTAGAGTGTAATCACAAAATGCTTAGCGTCATAAAGATATAGATAGATTCGTGTATATGAATCTGTTACGATACGCTATATAATCGGGTATCGGGGGTATTATGTTTAGAATATATATATATACTGCATTGCAACACATTTCATCATTCACTACGAATACAGAATAAAATTCAAAAATGCCAAAGGCACCGGTAATTCAAATGGTAAAAACAATAAAACGAAAAAAAAATGGCATAAAAAAGACTACATTCTATACCCGATATTCTTTTCTGCTTTCTAACTAACTAAAGCAAAATAAGGAACAATAAATCTACGCGTACATTATTTTTTTTTAAAACCAAAAATAACCTCTAAACATTTAGTAGTGGGAATCCTTGTTGCTGATTGGGCGTTTTAAAAATAAAGTAATGTTTTTTTGTATTTTATAAAACTAAATTAAATTATACAATAATTACCATTCCATTTAGGACCACTGGATTGTGACAATTGTGGTAGATTCCATGGTTCTTGTGAATCTGGTGTATCACATAGTGATCGTAAATCCGATGGTGTTGATTGTGTTGAATCACTATTATTGATCAGAATAAATGCTCGTGGTTGTCCAAATGGATCATCATCATCCGCTTCCGTTTGTAATGGTTCATCATCTGGTGGTCCAGTAGTATTGATTATTACACCATGTGTTGGTGTATTTGGCGGTGTCAATGCAATATGAAATTCCTATGTCAAGAGAAGAAAAAAAATTCATTTGAATATATATGGAATGGACAAGCAATGAAAAAAAAAAACAACAGAAAACAGAAAATAACCTCTCGATTTAATGATGATGAATCATTGGCCACTGCATGGTTGTTCGAAGTGGAAATCATCGTAGAATTACCATTAATTTGGTTTAAATTTATCATGAATCCATTATTAAAATTATTGTTGAAAAAATTATGTTGATGATCACTACTATTGCTATCGGTAATTTGTTTGAAAAAAATTTTTGAATTTGGAACAGTTGAATATACTGACATGATGATGATGATGATGATGAAATCGATCAAATGAACAATCAAACAAACAAGTCAAAAAACAATGAATAAAAATATAAAGATGTCTCTGTGTGTCTATGTATCTGTCTATGTGTGTGTGTGTTTTAATAAATGAAATTTTTTTAGAAATTGGGACAAAAAAAAATATAAAATCGAGGCACTCAATTAATATTTAAATTTTTTTTTCTCTTTTTTCAGAATCATATTTCAGAATTTTTCAGAATTCATTCTTTTTTTTTGTATGATAATGATGGTATAAATGTGTGTGTGTCTATGTGTGTGTTTGTGTGTGTGTGTGTGAAAAACGGCAATAAATCAATAAATATATTGATCAGATAATAATAGTAAATAATAATAATAATAATAAGGATGGTATGAATTTATTCTTGATTTGATATGATGATATAAATGTTGGCAATAAAAATGGCCACTGTAATAATAACATTGACAAGGATAAATAGATCAACAACATGATTATGATGATGATGATGTTACAAATAATTCAATGATTAGAAAAATTTTCAATCATTAACAATTTTCAATTGTAGAATATATCGTTGTAGATGTATTCGTTGTTGTTGTTGTCGTTGTTGTTGTTGTTGTTGTTAATAAATCACAGGATCTGTCATGGAATTTGTTTGGTTGTGATTTTTTGTTAGTTGAATGGAATTAAATATCGAATGATTGAATGATTGACAAAGTTTTAATCATCGTCATTATTATTATTATTTTTTTTTGTCTGAAAAAAACAGCGGTTGGTATGTGACAATGCATAAAATAAACGATATCAGAATATCATAAACAGACACATATACCAAATCAAATACACACATTTTCGGTAATCATCATAGACAATATATTCGGGCTCGACTTGACTCGATACATACACACACAAATACCGCACGGATAATGTGGTAGTTGTATCCGATTCTTGATTCTGCGACGTCTCCATCATATCGCTATGTGATATTGAATAATATCATCGAACATTTCAAATAAAATTCAGTTGTAGTGGAATAATTCGTACAAAAAAAAAAAAAGAAAAGAAAAATTCATTACAACATATATAATAGTGGTATATATGATATATAATTCATGAACAGATATTTGATATGGTTTTGTCAATGAAAAAGATTCATTACCACCACCACCACCACCACCACCATTATTGGCCCGACAGAATCGTATGATTCTTGAAACGCCAACCGATTCTGATAATAATGATGATGATGATGATATCATTTTCATGGCTAGAAATGAAGTATAATACCAAAGTGGAAAAGAAGAAAGAAAAATTCTGTGCATTGTTCATTGTATATAATACACAATGAACAATGCACACACACACACACGTGCTTTATCTTTATTTCATTAAGAATTCACATAGAAAGACTGAAACAAACGAAAAACAGTAGTTGAACTTGAAATGATAGCTGTATTGACTTGTGTTATTATCCAATCATCATCATCGTCATCATCATGATCAGTGATCAAAATCGATTCCAGACAATTGCCAATGAATTTATTCTAAAAATAAACATTTATTTTATGTAATACAAACACTGATATGACGTCTATCTTTATGAACAATATATAATAATTTAGAGAATTTAGGTTGGTTAGTTATATAATATGAAAGTAACGATTAATGCAATTTCAAAAAAAAAAAAAAATAGTTTTCAAGAATTTGGGAATCTAAAAATTTAAACCATCGACTTTCACGCCATCTATTATCGTTAAATCGAACAAATTGAATTTGAAAACAAAAAAATTCCAATCTGCCATGAAAAACAATAATAATAATAAAAAAATGAATCAAATTGAAAAACAAATGATTTGTTATTTTATATAGCCACACATCAATATGATATGAAAAAAAATATTGACTGTGCTTCAATGATAGTTTAAAAAAAACACATGGATAATCAATGGAAAAAATGGCTCTAATCAATATGCTAACTATAACCAAAAATCAACATAATTCCTCGAAAAATATTATGTTAAAGATTACAATAATCAATGTATTGATCACAATTCAAATCAATTGCAATTTGTGTGTGTGTGTGTGTGTAAAACGGACATTTTGGTTTTGAAGTGAAAATCAATTTATTAGTTTGTTTGTTCATTTTTGATTGATTCAATTTTTTTTCTATTTGATCTTAATCTCCTCATTATAGATATTGTGAAATTGATTAGATTAATGAAATCAAACTAACAACAACAACAACAACAACAACAAAACAGACACAACAATATTGGCTAGACACTCAAATAATTTAGGTTAATTTTTTTTTTTTTTGATTCCTTTTGTTTGATTTTCGGTTGATTTTTTGGCAGTTTTTTTAGTCATCCCAATCTTTTTCAAACAATTCTCTTGTATTATAAAGAAAAAAAAAATTTCTAATATTTGAACTACAACGAAAATGAAAATACCAAATACAATAGGTGTTTGTTAGCTGATGGAAATTGATTGGTTGCTTAGATACCACATATCAATTCAATTTATACATCATCAAAAGAACTTTCACTTGAAATTCCTTATCAGTAAAATAAACGTTTCGAGGTTGTACCATTAAATACATGCATACATGCATGTGGGACACACCTTATGGAGCTTATGTCAACAATATGAACGATAATGGAATGGTAATCATTACACAATGTTAGGATTGATATTGAATGCACAAAAAAAAATGAAAGATAAAACAGATCAATTGAATGAAATGAAAATAATCAACAACAACAACAACAATGTCTAAAATTATCGAATACATCTCCATTCACCATCATTATCGATTAATGGATTATAGTTTGAAATATGTAAAAAAAAAAAAAAAAGAAAAAAGATAAAACAAAACACATACAATTTCATGCATGTAGGCCATGTGCATTATTATAATATTTGTGCATACCATACATGTTCCAGATACCATTTTATTTATATATTTAGTTAATACATAAATAAACCAATAAATGATACTGATCCATATTGATATCAATGGTATATACTACTATACGACAACACACAACAAAACATGAATATATTACGTTCAAATGTAAATATTGTCACCAACCACAAACAGTCATATAAATAACCATAAGATGATGATGATGATGATGATAATAGTTCCCGGTGACAACCACATCACCATCACCATCATCATCATCATCATCATCATCAAACCGACTAATCAAATAATGGCATTTGATTGCACTATTTTTTTTTTTTTATTTCATTTCACTATTACTATGGCCAATTGGATCGGTCGGTTAGTTGTTTCAAAATAACCAAACAACCAAAAATCAAACTGCTAAACCTATGATGATGATGATGATGATGATGACAAAAACGGTTGGTGACAATCATCCAATGTTTGGATTATTATTATATGGTTTTTTTTACTGATTATTGCAACATATTTAAACACACGGTTTGTGTGTGTGTGTAAAAGATGATCTCGTCTCTAATATTTATATATCCGTCGAGATAAGCGTTCGGGAACAAGACAACAACGACAAAAAAAAATATATTGCCTTGTTGCCTATCCATTTATATTATTGTTATTATTATTATCAACAATCATCGTTGTCATCGGGATCGGTTTGAGACAAATAAAATTTTTTTTTTTTGCCTTGACTATAGTAAGTAATCTCATTTACAACCATCAACCAACCAACCAACCAACCAACCAAATACCAAACTCAAATCAAATTGGTAAGTCAAACCTGTTTATATATCCATAATGTTTCAATGTTTTTTTTTCTGGATCTGCATTCATTCTCATTCTTGCCATCATACAATGATGATGTTTTAAGACTATGATCATGATGATGATGATGATGATGATGATTATAGTGTGTGTGCGGTGTGTGTCATATGAATTCATTGGACTGAATTTTGTTTTTTTTACGCTACAAAAAAAACCTTAACGGTAAATTTTTCACTGGTCGTTTTTTTCAACTTGTTCCCATTTCGATAATCATCATTATCATCATCTACAGTTAGCAGAATTTATTGCAGAGAAAAAAAAACTTGAAATTTGAAACCTTGAATCGCTTCGTCAAAATTTGCATAATATTGGCCGTTCGAAACGATTTTTTTTTAAATTAATATTCATGGCCCGAATAAAAATGGAAAAATTTTTCTTTTCTTCTCGTTTGAATTCAACATAGAGAGAATGAGTAAGAAAAAAAAATTTTCATTTCTATTTTGATCTATAAAAATATTATGCATCTTTTGGCGAGTCGATATCAAAGGACTCTAACAACGAACTATTTAATTATCACGGCAATGGAACAATTATTTTCTGGTAATGTATCATATATGAAACAAAACAAAAAAATTGATTCAAAATATCGATAATAAATATCATCAATTCCCATCAATAGATGGCACATCATGCAAACGGCAAAATTTTAAATTCCCTTTGGCGCCCATTGTTTCATTGATCATATAATGGAAAGTAACTCTGTTCTGTTCAATCGATTCTGGTAATGTCAAAATAGAAAAAAAAATAAATGAATTCTCAAAAAATTCTGTCATTGTTTTCTGTTTTGTTCTCCTGACAAAAAATGGACCAATATTATTCTTGTTTTTTTTCAAGTGGATTTTTGATTGTCATCATCATCATCATCATTTTATTATTACAACAGCTATAAATGTCAATAATATATATAATATAATATGTCAAAAGGGAGACAACCAACAAAAATTCTCTCATCTAATTCTTTCACACATTACTTAAAGAATAAAATTAATGTTCACACACACACACACACACACACACACACAAAACACATATGGCACACACGTTTTGATTGTTCCAAAATTTTTTCTTCATTTCAATTCAATTCAAATTTCTCATGGCACGTGCAATAAACACACACACACACACACATATGTACAATACAATACCATGCCAGTCAGTCAATTTGTGATGTCAAAATT